CGCCGTCCCAATTCACGCATGTGATCCGTGCTCGCATCTGCTTGCTTGTGAGGGCCCCGCGCTGCCATGAGCTGGCGTTGCCACCTTCACCCCCCACCAGTGCCCTGTGGGAACGCCAGTCACCCTCTTCCCAGAGCAGGGCACAGAGAGGGGTCTCCCCAGGCAGCGGCTCGCGAGTGGTGGAGCGAGGGGCGCCCCGGGGCCTTCCGCACGGGCTCAGCGAGGAGGCGCAGGCAGGGTGAGTTGACACCAAGGTAGACTCGTCTTCTGGAAGCTGTGACACAGGAGGAAAACCGTCCGCATCTGAAACCCGTCCAGTTCCCGCCCACCCCGGGTACATTGTGTGTGCCTGGGTCAAACGAGCAGTTGCCAGAGACGGTCTCCGACGTGGGCCACCACGGGGTCCTGCCACTCTTCCCCTCGTGTCTTCTGGAATCTTCGCCCGCTCTCTGCCCTCTCGGATGTCGCGTGCAGCTCCGTGCCCGTGGGTTTTGTCAGTGAACGCATGCCTGTGCTTTTGCCCAGAGTAACCACTTGGCCTCCCCCCATGGAAGCCCCCCGTCTCCAACTTCTGTTCATTCACTCCCCGCTGCTGCATGGGTCCCCGTGCTGGGGCTGTCGCCTGGAAGAGGCACCCAGGCTGATAATGCAGCGCCAGGGACTGGGGTTCAGAAGCCCCAGGTCGGAGGAAGAGGAGCTGATGATGGACGAGGAAGACCAGGGTTCTACAGGAGGCCACTCGTGTCGGGGCAAAAGTGGGGAGCGACACCCGCGGGGCCATTCCACTCGCCAAGGTGTTCCTGTTCTCACCGGAAAAACAGGCCTAGCATCTGCCTCCTGTGTTCTGAGTCATTTTGAGTCATGCTTTGAAAGCACAGAAACAGGGGCCGGTGCCGTGGGGTAGCGGGTAAAGCTGCTGCCAGCAGTGCCGGCATCCCATGTGGACACCAGTTCGAGTCCCGGCTGCTCTACTTCTGATCCAGCTCTGCTGTGGCCTGGGAAAACAGTAGCAGATGGCCCAAGTCCTTGGGACCCTGCAGCTGTGTGGGAGACCTGGAAGAAGCTCCAGGTTCCTGGCTTCAGGTCGGTCCAGCTCCGACCACTGGGGCCATTCAGGGAGTGAACGAGCAGATGGAAGATGCTCAATCTCTCTTTTTCTCTGTAACTCTGCCTTTCAAATAAATAAATAAATCTTTTTTAAAAAAGACTGTTAGGTTTTCAAAAAAATTATAAAGTGTAGAATTATTTCCTGAAGTGGAGAGTATGCATGTGTGGTCCGCCTTTTCCTGGGGGCTAGGAAGTATGTAGGTGTGCACCTGTGCCTGTGTGCCCATGGAGTTGAACCCAAAGAGGTGCGCCACGGATTCGGCGGTCCCCGGACTGGAAGCAGCAGCACCTTGTGTTACTGGTGTGGACGTGGGCTGACGTGTGTGGAAGAAACCCCGAGTATTTGACTTCCCATTTGTTCCAGAGCATGGAAATCCAGAAATTCACAGGGCCAGTGGCATCGTGGCTGTTGGCTTTGCTTTGTGGCTGAGACGACTGGCACAGGCGGCCGATGGTCTCCATGAGAGTTCGGTGTAAGAAATGTCTGTTTTGCTCTTGGCCGCTCTGACGCCTTCCATGAGGCACAGCCCGGAGCGGTGCTGCGCCTGCGTGTCCGTCCCCTGCCTGGCCTCGCGGCTGCCCTGTGTGTTTGTGGAGAGTTCTCAGGTTGTAGATTCTAGAATGACCTGCAGGGACTGCTAGCCCAGCCGGAACTGCAGATAGAATTTGCTCGACAGCTTCTGCCATGGTTGTACCTGGCCGCCGGGAACAGGTGCCCTGCGAGAGATCAGGCAGCGGACCCGCTGGTCCTTCTCTGTGTTTGTGGTGCAGCCGAGCAGTCAGGGGGTGGCTGTGTGAGTGAGCCCGGGTCGGGAGCTGCAGAGGCCGGGCTGGAATTCCGGGCCCAGGGAGCAGAGGAAGCATCCACCGGGAAGGCGCCAGTCACTGTGCTATTGTGTGGGGGAACAATGGTCTCCTGCTGGGTGGGGCCTGGCTGTGTGGGAGCATCCCCGTGGACAGGAATGCCAGCCGGGCACTGGTGCGTGGGCGGGGCCGCGACCAAGGCCACGCTGACATTTCCCATGTGTGCTGCCTGGCTGCCCACAGAGCCAGGAACGCTTGTGAAGTGGCTTTGGTGCATGGCTCTGGGCGTGGGCGCTGTTCCCACTCAGGAATCCGCCGCTCACCCTCCCCGTGACCTTGGATGACCTTGTTCGCTGTTGTGCAATCCAGGGCTTTTTCAGGATGGCCAATGCCCCTTGCCTGACCACCACACTCCTCTCTTTTTTTTTATGTAACATTTATTTTATTTGAAAGGCAGAGTTACACACACACACACACACACACACAGAGGAAGAGGTGCCTTCCATCTGCTGGTTCACTCCCCAAATGACTGCAACAGCCAGAGCTGAGCCAGTCCAAAGCCAGGAGCCTGGAGCTTCTTCCACGTCTCCAAAGGAGGTGCAGGGGCCCAAGCTCTTGGGCCATTCTCCGCTGCTTTCCCAGGCCACAGCAGGGAGCTGGGTCAGACACAGGGCGGCCAGGACTCGAGCTGGCACTCGAAGGGACTGGCTGCAGCGTCACAGGTGGCGGCTTAGCCCACTGCAACACAGCACCGGCCCCATTCACTTCTTTTAAAGGCCCGTCTATCCCCGGGTCTCCCTCAGAGAGATGTTCAGTGCATTTTATCTCCTCTCTGTCCCTCACCGCTCCACCCACGGCCACCTGTGCACCTTCCACGTTCTCCCTGCCCCCGGTGAACACTGCGACTGCCCCCTGGGGACAGCGACAAGTGCTCAGGGTTGTGGCTCCCGGGCCCCGGCCCGTGTCAGCTCTGGCAGGTTCTGCCCGCTGGGCAGCAGCGTGGCGCTAGACCCCGGCTTTCCACGGACAGGGACGGCGCCAGGCCTGGCTGCGTCCACTCTGCTGCAGAAGTGGCTTTGAGCCTGTGTTGACCCTGAGCTGGCCACAAGGGAAGTGTCACAGAAGCTGCTCTGCGGGCTGTGAGCCTTTGAGATGGGCCTGCCTGGAAGAGGCACGCCATGACCAGCCGTCCTGGTGCCGCCCTGGTGCCCCCCTGGTGCCGCCCTGGTGCTGCCTGCAGAAAACGCCTGGGAAGGCGTGTCCACAGCAGAGCTCGAGCGGGGTGGGCGTTGGATTCAGCAGGCGTATGTCTCTCAGGCCGGCTGGCACTGTGGCTCAGCAGGCAAGGCCGCAGCCTGAAACCCCAGAATCCCATACAGGCACAGTTCCGAGTCCCGGCCGCTCCACTTCCTATCCAGCTCCCTGCTAAGGTGCCCGGGAGAGCAGCAGCAGACGGCCCGAGTGCCTGGGGGACAACGCCAGCCTTCATGGCCGCTTGGGGCGTGAACCAGCGGTGGAAGGTCCCTCCCTGCGTCTTTCTGTAACTCTGCCTTTCAAGTAAATAAATACATCTTTAAAAATAAGATGAAATAAGACGCCTCCTGGGGCACCGCATCCTGTATAAAAGTGGCTGTGGAAGCCCTGACCCCACTTCCTATCCAGCTTCCTGCCAAAGCGCACCCGGGGCGGCGGCTCAAGTGGTGGTTGGACTTGGATTGATTTTAAAAAAAAATATTACAAAGGAAAACTTGGCTGTTCCACCTTCCTTATCTATTTGTTTTTTTTAAAAAAGCTTTATTAATTATTTATTTGAAAGGCAGAGTTACAGAGACACAGGCATTTTCCATCCACTGGTTCACTCCCCTAATGGCTGCAACAGCTGGAGCTGGGCCAGGCCAAAGGCAGGACCCTGGAAGTCCATCAGGGTCTGCCATGTGGGTGTAGGGGTGCAGGGACTGCCTCCCCAGGCACATCAGCAGGGAGCTGGATTGGAAGCGGAGCAGCCAGGACTCGAACCAGCCCTTATACGGGATGCCAGCATTGCAGGGAGCAGCTTAACCCACTGCACCAGAACACTGGCTCCATCTATGGCTTTTTAAGCTTGATTTTACCTTGTGGGCTCTACCTACGCATTCTGTGTTTATTTCTAAAAGACGTTTTCATTCTGTAAATGGTTGGCTTTCTGTGTGGACGTGAGCTCAATGCTAGACATAAAAAGACGAATGACAAACACATTGTCCAGGGCGGGTGCTGTGGGGCAGCCGGTTCAGCTGCCCTTGGGGTGCCCGCGTCCTCTGCCAGTGCCTGCTTTGAATCCTGGTTGCTCCACTTCCGATGCAGCCGCCTACTGAAGCATCCTTGGGGCCCACAGGTGCTGGCCCAGATGCTCGGGCCCCTCCCACCCACATAGGAGCCCAGATGGAGTCTCTGGCTCCTGGCTTTGGCCTGGCCTAGCCCTGGGTATTGTGGGAATTTGGGGGAGTGAACCAGTAGGTACAAGAGTCTCTCTCTATCTCTCTCCCTCTCTCTGTCTCTCTCTCTGCCTTCCAAGTAGATAAGAATAAATATGTATTTTTTAAAGTGTCACTGTTTACCAGGGAAGATGGGTGCAACAATTAGAAAGACAGTGTGGGCCGGCGCCGTGGCTCACTAGGCTAATCCTCCGCCTTGCAGCGCCGGCACACCGGGTTCTAGTCCCAGTCGGGGTGCCAGATTCTGTCCTGGTTGCCCCTCTTCCAGGCCAGCTCTCTGCTGTGGCCCGGGAGTGCAGTGGAGGATGGCCCAAGTGCTTGGGCCCTGCACCCCATGGGAGACCAGGAGAAGCACCTGGCTCCTGGCTTCGGATCAGCGCAGTGCGCCGGCCGCAGCAGCCATTGGAGGGTGAACCAACGGCAAAGGAAGACCTTTCTCTCTGTCTCTCTCTCTCACTGTTCACTCTGCCTGTCAAAAAAAAAAAAAAAAGAAAGAAAGACAGACAGTGTGAGAGCTGCAGGTTTAGCACAGGGAGCTCCCATTCCACATCCATCAAAAAAACCGTGAAGACCCACAGGAGGACACGGGCCAAGTGGGCCAAAGGAGCCAGCGGAACCATGGCCACGTTGTTCCTGGGAGTGGGACGCGGAGCATCAGTGTTGCAGACCAGCTCCACTGTGTCTTAGAAAACATGGAAGAGACGCCTGCCCTGTGGCCCGACAAGTTGCCCTCCTAGGTGTTTTCTCAAAAGAAATGGAAACAGCCATCCAACACAGACTCAGGCAAGGATGCCCGTGGCCACCTCCTCACTTCTAGCCCACAACTGGGAACAACCCAGGTGCCCAAAGGCAGAGAAGCCCACGCAGGTCGTGGTGTCCACGCAAGGGAGGGAGGAAAGGACCCTGCATACCGCAGTGCGGGCGTCTTGCCCACACTGCCAGACAGAGGTCACACCAGCGCATGATCCCACCGGCAGAACCCTCGAGGAAGCAGCGTGTCAGTGAAGTGAGGGGCGGTGGCCTCTGGGGCAGAGCGGAAGAGGCTGGAAAAGGGGCGATAGAAGTCCCTGCACCCTGACTTGGGTGCGTGCCACGCTGGAAGTCGCCGTTCCAACGCTGGTGAGCACGCGTCTCTGTTGCACGCAATGACACTGAACAGGGATGCTCGTGACAGGGACTCCCGGGGAGGGGGGGTGGACATCGGCGTCATGGCTGCCACACTGGCTGGGATTTGCCAAGCAAGGTTTGGAACAGCAGAAGGAGGGTGTTCCAGCCAGGGAAGAGCCTGGCCCGAAGCCCATGGGCGAGAAAGGGCTTAGCCTTGTCAGCAGGTGCCGCCGGCTAGCCTCTGCCACCCGTTAGCAGAGCGTCTGTGTCCTGAGAGCGGGGTGCGCCTCCTGCTGGGGGCTTTGTCCTGATCAGGATTCAGTCCTGTCACAGCTCCCCCACCCCCGCATCAGTGTGGTTTTCATCCGACTGATCAACTGCTCAGGACTTTGATTTTTGACACGGTTGCTCAGGAGCTGCCTTCCTGGACTGACCTCTCTCTCTGTTGTGTGTTTTTTTTCCTTGACAAATGAAAGCTGCAGATCCTCGTGGACACAGGGAGCAGTAACTTCGCCGTGGCAGGGGCTCCGCATCCCTACGTGGACTCCTACTTTGACGTGGAGAGGTAAGTGGGGCAGCGGTCGCTGGCGAGGCTCAGCCGGAGGCTGGTGCATTGTCAAGCGGTTATGTACGAGGGGCCTTCTAAAAGTTCTTGGCAATTGTATGTCATGCACATACTGCAAGGATCCAAAACTTTGGCGCACCAAAATAAACGTAGGTCTAATTGCATTTCCCATGAGCTTCTCGGGGTCCCCACGAGTGCATCTGCACGTGTGAGTCAGTGTGCATGTGTGTGAGCGTACGTATCATGGTGTGTGTGAGTGCTCACGCATTTGCACATTTCGTTGCAGCATAATCCACGCCTTGATCCCCCAACAGCCTTGGTGCCTTCACACGAGGCTTCGCTCCACGCGATCTCAAGTCCGACGTTGGTAGTTAGGGCGCTGTGGTCCTTCAGTACTGGTTCCAGCCGCTCGGGTGCTGAAGTGGCAGCGGTGGGGCCTGGGCAGGGGCGGAGAGCCTTGTGTGGGAGTGCGGGCTGCTCGGGCGGGGGAGGGCTTGCTCCCACAGCTGGGGAGATAAAAGCTGGCTTAGCATCGTCGCAGCGTGCAGGGTTACGGTGGTTCTTGGAGGCTCTGTCTGTGGGGAGGTGTTTTCACTTGGGAGAAACTCAGGACTCATTTGGAGAAAAGCGCCTGGTGGACGCACAGAGCATTGAGGCCTGAGCCTGGGCTGCCTCACCATCAGGAGTGAGGGGGTCCTGAGAAAGGGGTGGAGTCCGCTGCTGGTGCTGTGCCCACTCCCTGCGATGCCCCCATCCCAGGTGAGTGCAAGTTCCGGCTGCTCCACTTCTGATCCAGCTCCCTGCTCACGGCCCAGGGAGAGCAGTGGGAGACGGCTCCTGGCTTCAGTCTGGCCCAGCCCTGGACATTGCGACCACTTGGAGAGTGACCGAGTGGACAGAACAGCTCTCCCTCTCCTGAGCTTTCTCTGTCCTTTCTCCTTCTCTAACTGCCTGTCAAATAAGTCGATCTTGTTTTAAGAGTGGAGCCCGATGGAGGTCTTCAGAATAGAGCAAACCTCTCCAAGCACAGGCCCAGCTCCCAGCTTTAGACGAGCTCGGGCCCGGGGGCGTGCGGGTTGCAGGGGCCCCCAGGGGCCCGGAGTCGGCACCCCGCGCCGGAGGAGCCCACAGTGTGGAGTCACTGCCCTCCGAGCACTCGAAGCGTCCCTCACGCTGTGCAGTCGTGACCTCCGTCTCCTTTTGAGAAATTCATCTCGATGGCACAAGTACACTGCTGGGTCTGCTTGGTCAGGTCATGAACGTGGAAGGACTCAGCCACCGCGCCAGACTTCCCCGCTGTAAATCCCTGTCTCCCCTCTTCCCGCCTCCCTTATCCTCGGGCTTTTCTTCCAGGGAACAGAGGCCAGCCTCAGTGGGGGCTGAGGGATTAAAGACAGGGAAGCCCCAGCTGGGTGGCTTCTGAAAATGGGGGGCAGTTTAATGGGGCAGGAAGTGGCCGAGGAGACCCACACGTCCATCCGTCTCCTGCGCCGCGGCCGGGGCTCTGCTCTGGGGGCGTCAGTGCCATGGCCGCGTTCTCCATACGGCAGCCTCCATCTCGCAGGCGAGCCTGAAGGCGGCGGGGGCGGAGCTCAGCACACTGACTCTCCGGCCCCCCTGTGCCCAGGAAGGAGCAGGTGCAGGGGGCCGTGGGGGCATCCCCGTGGACACAGCACCCAGCGTAGATGGGTTGTGGCAGGTTGAGTCAGACTCAGATTCTCAGAGCAGGTTAGGTTGCTGACAAGGTTTTCCAGAATGGTGACGAACCTTGGTCACCTCCGCCCAGTGGTCCCAGCGTCACTACATTTACACCGTGGTCGTTAATACCCAGTGCACATCAAACTGCTGTGCAAAATCCCTCGTGCATATGTGACAGCAGGCACCTTGTGTGCACACGTGGTCAGCCTGAGGTTTTCACCCACAGGGGGCACTGGACAGTGACTTCCCTTGGATAGCCAGCAGCCAAAACCACCCCCAGTGTTTCCGAAACTCGCCCAGGGACAGTGGGGTCCCCATTGAGGACCACTCGCCAGCCAGCACTGTTCCCCTGCACACCGACGCAGCTTCCCCTCTCCGGTGGGGTGGGGGCACCGTGGAGCTGGGCCCCCATCAGCAGTCCCCTGCCTGGCCTGAGGAGTGTCACTCCCTGTCTGGTGCCTGCAGAGTCAGCGGGCAGCCGACAGAGCAAAGCCACGGTTAGCGGGCACGGCTGTCACGCTGTACGTCAGCCAGAGCTCCACAAAGGCCGAGGCGCATCTCCCCACCCTGGCTCCTTTGGCCCTGCAGGTGCGATTGTTAAGGTGACAGTCCCCACTTCCAACACTGTGCTGTCATTTGATCTGCAGACAATGTTCCCCCGACTGTAGACAGCCTCTTCCCCATTCACCGCGCCCTTGACCAAGCTCTGCTTCTCCCTCGGGCCCCAGCACCGCACAGCTCTCTGAGTTCCCGGCTGGCCTGGCCCTGGCTTATCCAAGTGGAGCGTGTGTCCACCCCCAGGCTTGTGTCCAAATGGCCCACGGTGCCTGTTTTCCATGCTGCAAGATTGGGCTTGTCTGGCCTCCAGGCACCTGAGTCCTGGCAGAAACTCTGGGGACCATCCCCGTCTAGCTGGCCAAGTCTTTGCTCCTGCCAGCCCCACGAGAACCCTGTCAGCTCTCTGGACGCCCCAGGTCCCATCTGCTTCTCCTTTTGTGGGTGAAACAGAGAGGAGCAGCAGAACCCAGCGCTGTCCAGGGAAAGCCCAGACTTCCCCTCCGTGGTCAGCGTCACCCCATTGCCACTTCCGCCTTTCCCGGCTTTGCAGGTGCTCCTGCGGTTGAGTTATCCCAGGTAAGACCCCTCCCCCCGCCCTAGTGCCCCTTTCTACTGAGAACCTTCAGCAGGGCTAGGGCGCCCGTTTCAGGGCTGGGGCGCCCGTTTCAGGGCTGGGGTACCCGTTTCAGGGCCGGGGCGCCCGTTTCAGGGCTGGGACGCCCGTTTCAGGGCTGGGGCACCCGTTTCAGGGCTGGGACGCCCGTTTCAGGGCTGGGGCGCCCGTTTCAGGGCTGGGGCGCCCGTTTCAGGGCTGGGACGCCCGTTTCAGGGCTGGGGCGCCCGTTTCAGGGCTGGGGCGCCCGTTTCAGGGCTGGGGCGCCCGTTTCAGGGCTGGGGCGCCCGTTTCAGGGCTGGGACGCCCGTTTCAGGGCTGGGGCGCCCGTTTCAGGACTGGGGCGCCCGTTTCAGGGCCGGGGCGCCCGTTTCAGGGCCGGGGCGCCCGCTTCAGGGCCGGGGCGCCCGCTTCAGGGCCGGGGCGCCCGTTTCAGGGCCGGGGCGCCCGTTTCAGGGCTGGGGTGCCCGTTTCAGGGCTGGGGTACCCGCTTCAGGGCTGGGGTACCTGTTTCTGAGTTTTGGGCTAATTCCATCCCATCAGCCGCATCCTTGCCCCCGTGTGTGCTTTGCGGGTTAAATGCTGCCTTAGGTTGACACTGACCTTGCCTTTTCCCTGTGCTCTGCGTTTCCCGTGCTTCTCATGGGCTCACAGTCGAGTGAGATGTACAGTTGCAAGGGCTGGAAAGCTTCCCTCAGGTGTAGGCTGCGTGTTACTACTTTGCCTACGCTGTCCCCAGCGGCGGAGTTGGCCGAAGGTACACTGTCAGCCGTTGTTTTTGATCAAAACCGAAGAACATGCTCTTCCCTTCCCGATGCCTGACAAAGGTTTCTTTGCTGAGCTGTGGCTCCCTGCCCTGCCGTGTTTCCGTGTGTGCTCGGGCCTCTGATGTGTCTCCGTGACAATAGGGCGGCTGGTGGGCTTGTCACCCCCTGACGCCAGCCCAGGCCTTTGGAAACACATGTTTAAGGCCTCCTGACGCCTCTCACAGCGATTGGAGCGTGGCTGGGAGCTCTTTGAGAAGCTCTTTGATTTGGGGATGAGACGTCAGCTGCCGTTCGCCGTCTGAGTCGCCTGTTGCCGGCGGAGGCGGGTGTTCCGGTGAGCTACTGTGGAGCAAAAGCGGGCCGTGCGTGTTCCCAGACTGACTTCTTTTCCACCAATAAAAGAGCCTCGGCCGGTGGCTCGGTGGAGAGACCCAGTGTGCGCCCTTGACCCTGCACTAATCTGTCCGGGAAACTCGGCGCTCTGCGTTCTCGTTGCGGTGCCTCGTCCCGGCTCCCGCGGGCTCCTGGGCCCCACAGAGCCGCTCGTTCCCTCCCTCACCGATGCTCCTAGGTGGGATTCGGGCGTGAGAGGTGACCTGGTGGCTTCTCAGAGGAGGCTGAACCGGATGCAGAGCGATCGCCTCTCCGTGGGCCGGGGCAGCTCGGGTTGCCTGCTGGTTTCAGGGATGGGGAACATTCCTCCTGCCAAAGGCCACTGAATGTCGATCACATTCTCCACGGACCCTACAGAATCATCCCCTAAAGACTGAGTCGGCCATGCACCCATCAGATTCCAAGTCCCACCTGCGGTCCGGGTCAGACCTTGCCCAGCCCCGGCCCTCCAGCCCGCCTGGTGTGTGCCTGGGCAGGCGGAGCCCGAGGCACTGCCGCTGCTGCTCCTGGAGATGTGGCTTGAGCAGGTGGAACCAGAGACTTCCAGGTGGCCTGGTCCCGTCCATGGGGGCCTGGTGGTTTGCAGAATCAGAGGAGTGGTGGCAGGCACCTGGTGGGCACCTGGGCCTGGCTGCCAAGTCCACAGGTAGCTTGCGCACCTGGCCTGAGCTGCAGAGCCCCGGGGGAGTCTGGGCAGAGTTCCTCCAGTGGGGGCCTGGGACAGAGCGGACCCCAGGATTCCCCGGGCAGCCCGGGTGTTCTGCCTCCTGCGCTGTGTTGGCTCACAGAAGTCGCGGGGTCCTTTTTTTAAAGATTTTATTTATTTTAAAAGCAGAGTTACAGACAGTAAGAGAGAGACAGAGAGAGAGGTCTTCCATCCACTGGTTCATTCCCCAAATGGCTGCGATGGCCAGACTGGAGCTGATCCGAAACCAGGAGCCAGGAGCTTCTTCCGGGTCTCCCACGTGGGTGCAGGGGCCCAAGTCCTTGGGCCATCTTCTACTGCTTTCCCAGGCCACAGCAGAGAGCAGGACTTGATCTGGCTCCACGCCACAGTGCCGACCCCCGTGGACATTTTTAAAACATGTTTTCTGAGATAAAAGAAGCAAGCAGGAAAGGTGGAAAGGACTAACCACAAGAACGAGAGCCCCGGATCAAACCCCTGCACGCAGAGGTGGCCCCTGCTGAAGGCTGAGCATAACGAAGAATTTTAAAGAGGATCCGCCAAGTTCAACATTTTCTTCCTACGATCGTTTAAAATTCCTTAGCACAAAACAGCAGGTTAGGCCGCCACCTGCAACACCAGCGTCCCATGTGGGCGCCAGTTCGAGTCCTGGCTGCTCCACTTCTGATCCAGCTCCCTGCTAATGCACCTGGGAAAGCAGCGGAAGCCCCTGTGTGGCGACCTGGACGGAGTTCCGGGCTCCTGGTCTGGGCCTGCCCCATCCCTGTGGCCGTTTGCGGAGTGAACTATGGATGCAATCTCTCGCTCTCCCTCTCGCTCTCTCTCCACCTCTCCCTTTCTTCTGTTACTTTTAAATAAACAAATAAAACTTTTTTCTAAAAAGGTAAATTTATTGGGCTGCACTTCCGCGTACTCTCTGAAGCACCGTCGTACTTAGGTAGAAGGCCGTGTCACCTCTCACTTAGCCGCCCCCCCAGGTCGGCCCGCAGCCCGAGTGCTCCTGCAGCAGGGGCTTCCTACGCTTCGTGCGGCACAGGCGCAGCAGTGATGCAGAGTGAGGGACCCTCAGGCCACAGCAGCGCCTCGGGTTGCTTGCTTTGGTGACTGCTGTGTGCCTGAGGGATCTGAAAGTCTGCACAGTGCTGTGGGGTGGGTGTGTCCCCAGTGGCTCCTGCGTGCGTTGGAAGCCTGGATCTCCAAGTGGCAAGGTTGGGACATGGTGGAGGAGCCCAATGTGTGGGGGCCCTTAGGTCCCTGGGCCACTTCCTGGTCAGGGATTAAGGTGTTTCTCATGGAACCCTGGTGGGTGTCCCCAGAGGCTTACAGTGAAAGCCTGGGCTGGCCCTGCCCAGCCTCCTCGCCTGCTCACTGGCCATGTGGTCACCTCTCCTCACGCGCTCCTACCAGTGCCATCACCGGGAGGTGACACAGAGGGGCCCTTACCAGGGCCTGAGCTATGGGGCGTGGAGCTCGGACCCCCAGACTGTGAGCTCAGTAGACCTCTTTGCTTTATAAGGCAGCCGCCTGGGTATTTTGTGCCAGTAACAAAGCTGGCGCATGGTCTGAACGCCCAGGAACCTTCCAGAAGGCATTCCTCAGACTCCCGCCTATCATGCAAGCAGAATTTTCAAACTCACCTGGGTGTGAATGCCCTACCTGCTGCCACTCACCCCGAGAGCCACACGCACGTGGCCCCAGCTGTCCCCGAATCAGAGAGGCCTCCCGGCCGAGTACTTGCCGTCCCCTGCCCTGCCTTCTTCCCTGGGTGTCTCTCACTCCCTCCTCACTGCACGAAACACTAGGGATGCGCGTGTCCACTGTCCCTGCCTGCTGGGGCGTGCACCTGCCCTGTCCATCATGTGACCTCGTCAGTGCCGTTCTCTTGGTAACTCTCAGCTTCGGGGTTCCGTGTGTGCCGAGTCCTGGGTCCCTCCACCGTGATGTGCGCCCCAGCATGTCCAGATGTTGGTGTGATTATTGTCCGCTTGGGGCATCAGGAGAGAGCTTGAGAGGGAGCCCTGACATCGGGGGCCGACCCAGGCCCTGAGGGGGAGGGGGTTTTGTGTGTGTGGCGCAGAGCCCTGGGCGTGGCCAGCACAAGTGCCGGCGCCTCCAGGCAGGCGGCGGTCACCTCCGGGAGTCGCTGGGCAGCGGCCAGGCAGGCGCTTGCACCCTTTGTAGGCTCACGTCCTTCCAGAAAGCACCTGGTTTTCCAGGTGTGACTCGGGCACGGGGAAGAACGGAGCCCAGGACCGACGTGTGCACACGTGGTGTGCATAACAGTCGCCACAGTGTAGTGGCCGTGTTTGGGGGACTGTCACCTTGTCACCGTCAACACTGCGTGCCGCGTCGCCCAGCCTGGCCCCCGCGGCTCTCGGCACGGATCTCTGACAGAACGCGGTGGGCTTTCCTCTCCCCCGCAGGTCCAGTACCTACCGCCCCAAGGGCTTTGACGTCACCGTGAAGTACACCCAGGGGAGCTGGACGGGCGTCGTGGGCGAGGACCTCGTCACCATCCCCAAGGGCTTCAACGCGTCCTTTCTCGTCAACGTCGCCACTATCTTTGAGTCGGAGAATTTCTTTCTGCCTGGGATTAAGTGGAATGGAATACTCGGACTCGCGTACGCCACGCTGGCCAAGGTAGGGTGGCTCCACGGACACGTGGGGTGGGGGCCCCGAGCCCAGGCACCGAGGGGCTGCCACGCGGGCCCCGGCTGCCTTTGGAGACAGTGAGAATCATGTTTGAAGCAGCAGTGAATTCTAGTTCTAAGCATTCTTTAAAATGTCTTTATTTTACTCGAAAGGCAGAGTTACAAAGAGAGAGACAAAGACAGAGACAGAGATCTGTTTACTGGTTCACTCCCCAAATGGCCAGGGCTGGGCCAGGCTGAAGCCAGCAGCCAGGAGCTTCTTCCAGGTCTCCCACGTGGGTGCAGGGGCCCAAGGACATGGGCCATCCTCTGCTTTCCCAGGCGCACGAGCAGGGAGCTGGCCCAGAGGTGGAATCCAGTTGGCGCCCACACGGGCTGCCGGCCTCGCAGGGGGCAGCTCCACTTCTGCTGCAGAACACCAGTCCCTCTGAACGCTTTTAAATTTAAGATGACGCATCCCTTGGCAACTTCCTGTAAAACATACTGACGACACTATCTTCGTCTTTCCTTCTGTAATTTTAAAATGTTAACAGCATCTGAATCACATTGAATGTGAAGTTTGATTAGGAGCTTTTCCTGGGATAGGAGTCAAAGAAAACATAATGAATTCAGTGTTTGCACAGAGGCGGGGCCTGCGGGCAGCCCTGGGAGACTGACAGGGAGAGGTCCCGCCCTCAGACCACCGGCACTTCCTGCAGCTTTCTTGTCACCCCGGGAGATGCCTGAAACTCCACGTAGCAATGAGCCGGGGAGAGACGGTGGACTCCTGGCCCTTGGCATCAGAGTGTCCACAAACAGGCAGAATCAGATGTTCACCAACTGTTTGTACTTGGGGCTGACCCACAGTGAATAATGTTGGTGTGCAAAGGAGGGAGGCGGGCGGGGACTTTCCACGGGGACAGTTGCCAGAGGCAGGCGGGATCAGCTGCCAGGGTGTGCCCGGGGCTCCTGGGGACAGGCAGGTTTGTGTGCACCTGAGAAGGGCGGAGGGAAGCCACCTGTGCTGGCCTTGAACCTGGGAGCCACACCCTGGCCTCGTTGTTCAGCTGGAGCTCAGTGTGGAAGGAGGGGGAGTGTGCAGGGGGAACCCTTCCCCACCCCGGGGCACCCCATCCACAGGGAGGCCTCGTTCCCCACACAGAGGGAGCGTTTGTCCCGGCCCCAGGTTGTTAGCGAGTGATATGGGGTGAGGAGTGGACAAGGGAGTCCCCCCCACCGCCCTTGGCTCACAGGGGCCAGAGCCTCAGACACAACCCTGGGAGCCAGGGGGGTCCCGGTCACTCAGCGCCCGAGCCTTCCCGGGAGGCGGGCATTGGCAAGGCTGCGTTCTCCCCATTAGTGTCCTGGAGACTGAGGGGCAGACAGGTTCACCCCCCCCCCCAGTCAGAGCCCCTGGCTGCAGAGCCAGGGCGGGGGGGGGGGGAGCGCCTGAGCCCTTGGTCATCAGTACCAACGGTGGCTCCTCTTATGCTAATGATGCGGAAGTCTTAGCCCGACCCGGACTACCTGCACTTCCTACCCTGGAAAGCTTTGGGCTTCTCTTAGGGGAGGGGTCCCGATTCTCCCCATGACCTCTCACCTCTTCATCTGTGAAGCTCCAAGGTCACTGACCATTGGCTTCCCGACCCCCAGGGTTTGAGGAGACAGCAGGATTTGCAGGAAGGAGAGAGTGGCTGGACGCAGGACCCACAGCGCGGTTGGGGCTGGGGGCTGGGGCAGCTTGGCCAGAGCACTGGGCGGTGGTCCTGGAGTGTGTGCGTCAGCCCACCCGCGGGGCCCTGAGGCGCACGCTCCTGGAAGAGGCTTGCACAGAGCAGGACCAGGGCCCTTCCCGCGGGCAGGGCTCTCCGTGTGGATGGAGCAGCTGCGAGGGGCTGTCCTGACCCCGACTTTGCTGAGAAAGCCGCGGACTCGAGTCCCAGGGCCAGCCAGGGTGCAGCCGGGCGGTTGTTCCCGGGCGTTTACTGTGGACCGCCGGCCTGAAGCGGGGACTGTGTGTCCCTTCCTTGACCGGAATACAAAGCGTCCCCACGGGCGGTGCACGCGGCTGGCTCTCGCACCCTGCAGAGGCTGAGCTCTGTGCGCATGCGCACCGTGCCTGCGGAAGATTCCCCCATCACCACCACCACCCCCTCCGCCAGGGTCCCAGCCCTCCCAAATGGCCTTAGGACCCTGTGGCATCCATGCTCCTGCAGCTGAGGGAGGTTTCGCCAGCCCCTGGGGACACGCGGTGACTGGTGGGTCACGCCAGCACCCCCAGGTGTGCAGCCCGGACCCTACACGCAAGTGTGGCGCCAACTTGCTCCAGGACCCCAGCACCTGCGCTGCCGCCGCCGCCGCCTCCCCTTCCCGAGGTCCCTGTACGGATGCGGAGCTGTGGCCCAGGGAGGGGCCGGGCAAACCGCTCCACCGTGACGCGGCAGTGGGAGAAGCTGATTCCTCACTGTCCCTGAGCACCGCCGGTCCGGTCCGAGGGCCAGGTTTCGGCGGCCCGGCGGCGCTTGTCCCTGGTCTGGGGCGGACTGTGCCCCTGGGCGAGCCGCCGCCTGTGTGCACGGTGGGAGCGGCGCCTGCAGAGGCATGGAAGTGCGGCGGCAGCCTGGAAAGGCCCCGCGGTGTCGCAGATGCGGATCCGTGGCCCGCCCTGACCCACTTGCACGCCTGATCCGCGGTCAGCACCTCCGCCTCCTGTTGTTCCAGTGTGGCCAGAGGAAAAGTACCAGGCAGGAGGCGCGTCACGGGAGGTTTCTGAACCCGCACCGCCACCACGCGCGGTTTCTTGGGCAGCAGGAGACGCCGAGCGGGACTAGGCCATGGCGGCGCATGCCCGGTGCCTGTGGGTTGTCTCAGGCTGCAGCCGCAGAAGGCGTGGACTGGCCTGGCTGTTCCTCCACGCGGCGAGCCACAGGGGCGCCCCCCTCGCCCCGGCCCCAGAGGCCTGCGCTGGGGCTGCCCTGGGTGCCCTGTGCACCTGCACGACGACCGTCTTAGCGGCATCCCTGGAAGGCGCCGTCCCTGGCCATCGCTCCTCGGGTTATTTTCTTTCTGGGACGTGTGAAAGGGTCCTGCCTCCCCCTCAGTCCCCACCCCCACCCCGGGCACGATGTGCAGGTGCCTCCAGATTTTAACAAAGCCGCATGCCTCTCTCGTGCTCATCAGCCTTGTTTAACTTCGCTCCCAGGCTAGCCAGAGAGCCCAGGGGAAACCCGAACCATGATACAGGGGCTTCTCCCTTCTCCCGAACAGAGACCAGGGGTGCCGCCCGTGCTGCCTGCGCGGGGTCACCTTGCTCCACGCCCTCTCTCTCTCTGTCGCCCTCCGCAGCCCTCCAGCTCCCTGGAGACGTTCTTTGACTCCCTGGTGGCGCAGGCGAAAATCCCCGACGTGTTCTCCATGCAGATGTGCGGGGCGGGCCTGCCGGTGGCCGGATCCGGTACCAACGGAGGTAGTCTTGTGGGTATCTTTTAGTCTTAAAGGGGACGAAAAATCACAAACACGCGGGGCTGGTTTATTTCCGTGTCGCCAACGACCTGCTCAGAGGCATTGGGCGCGTAAGCACACGGAGGAAGCGCGGGGGTTGATAACCCTGCCCGTAGGGGCTTCCACAGCTGGAGAGCAGTGCGTTCAGCCTGCTACGGCGCTGAGTCCTCCGGCCGCCTGGAGGGACGGCTCTCGGCCCTTACCCGGGACCTTTGGAGGGAGGGGTGGCTTTCTGTTGGGTGGGGGAGGGGCAGATGGGGAACAGGAGGCCTGGCTGGTCTCACCTGGGTTGGTGGACACACTGGGTGGAGAGACACATCCTCTCCTTTGTTCCTCCCTCTCCCTTCCCCTCCTCCCTCCCCCCCCCCACACGTGTGCACACAGTGCATGGCAATGGTGTTTCCTTCTACATACTCAAGGCCCCCAGCACTCAGACGTCTGAAGGAGGTGACAGGAGCAGTGCACGGGAAGGGACCCGGGGGGCAGAGACCACCTCCACCCCTGCTCCCACCTGCTGCTCCAGGCTCCTCACCCCCCTCCTGAGGGAGGAGCCTGGCCCCTGTGGGGAGGGGTGGTGCTGCGGGTTTGCACAGGGACACCCCGCCCTCTGCTCCCCTCTCTTGACCCCCGTGGCTCCGTGGGCTTGGCTGCTCCACAGCGTTTCCTGGGGGAGGTGTCCAGCTCTGAGGACGCGCGGCCTTTAGGTGATGGACAGACGCCGCCCTCGGAGGCAGGCCAGCAGCGGCCCCTGCTTCGCCTGCGTGCCTCGCATTTGTCCCAGCCCAGCCCAGGGAAGTGCATCCGGGGGGGGGGGCCCCTCACGGCTTGGCCTCTCTGTGGAACCTGTGGGGTTTTCTCTTACACCTGTAAATATTTGCCTTCCCAGGTCCTGGGTGGAATTGAACCGAGTCTGTACAAAGGGGACATCTGGTATACCCCGATTAAGGAGGAGTGGTACTACCAGATAGAAATCCTGAAGCTGGAGGTTGGGGGCCAGAGCCTGAACCTGGACTGCAGAGAGGTATCCGCCCTGGGGTCTCACTGTGTGTGTGTGTGCATGTGTGTGTGTGCATGTGTGTGAGTGTGCATGGGTGAGTGTGCATGTGTGTGAGTGTGTGTGCATGTGAGGCCAGAGCCTGAACCTGGACTGCAGCGAGGTATCCGCCCTGGGGTCTCGCTGTGTGTGTGTGAGTGTGTGTGTGTGTGTGTGCGTGTGTGTGTGTGCATGTGTGTGAGTGTGTGTGTGCATGTGTGTGGTGTGTGTGTGTGTGAGGCCAGAGCCTGAACCTGGACTGCAGAGAGGTATCCGCCCTGGGGTCTTGCTGTGTGTGTGTGAGTGTGTGTGTGTGTGTGTGTGTGTGTACATGTGTGTGAGTGTGTGTGCATGTGTGCACATGTGTATGTGTGCACGTGTGTGCACTCCTGGGCCCCTGAGACAGCACAGCTCATCAGCAGGAAGTCAGAACTGCATTACTTTCCGAGATCAATCCCAGGCTCCCTGTGTGGGAAGAGACAGGGCCTTCTGTGTGACCATTTAAACCGATGGATTCCATCCACACCCCAACCCACCCCACCCCCAAAACTGCTTCTTCTCAACCACTTGTCTTAATAGGGTGAATTTAGCATAGGAAAAGTGGAATTAAAAGGTAAGCTTATTTTGGTCCCAAAAACAATTTGAGGGTTGGTGTCATGGCATCACAGGCTCTGTCTGTGACACCAGCATCCCATGTAGGCGCTGGTTCGAGACCCAACTGTTCCACTTCCAAACCAGCGCCCTGCTAATGCACCTGGGAAAGCAGTGGAAGGTGGCCCAAGTGCTTGGGCCCCTGCACCCACGTGGGAGACCTGGAAGAAGCTCCTGGCTCCTGGCTTCAGCATAGCCAGCCTCAGCCACTGCGGCCATTTGGGGAGTGAACCAATGGTTAGAAGATCTCTCCCCCGTCCCCTCCCCCACCCCACCTCCTCCTCCTCTTCCTCCTCTG